CCCCCCCCCCCCCCCCCCCCCGGGAAGCTGGACTGCTTGGCCCGGCGCCCCGGGCGCGCACCTGTGCTAGCCATTCGGGTCTGGTCCGCTGCCTAAGAGGCTGCGACGCGGCTTTTATCCCAAAGCCTGGCCCTGCGAGGGCTGCCCCAAAAGCCTGGACAGGGAGGGACGCGCTGCCTGTTCCTACTGGGGCCTCCGCATTTCCCACATGCTCCCAGCCGTGGCGCCAGCCCGCGTCCGGAATGGCACCTGGTCGGCTCTTGCTGTTGTCACCGCTCTCCTTCCCCTCACAGAACTGTGCCACGAAGTCTTCCTATCTGGCCCACATTTGCGTGTCCTACCAAGGTGGCTGACAGTTTATGACAGCGTTCAGTTTCCATACAACTTCAGCCTGCCTTAGAAACACCTGCATCAGGCTGAGTGTGGTGTCACACTCCTCTGATCCCAGCTCTCTTGGAGGCAGGAGGGTCACAAGTTCGAAACCAGCCATGGCAATGTATGAATTTAATGAGGTTTTATCTGAAAATGTAAAGGGGCTGCGGAAGCAGCAGAATGCGGGGGTGGGAGTTGTTGGGGGAGGGCAATGGTTGGGAGAGTGCACACTGAACATCAATAGTTATTTGCATACTTTGCAAAATTTTTTTTTAAATTCAGTACAGGCTCTACAGGGTCTACAAGGTCTCACTATGTAGATTGGACTCATGATTATCCTGTTTTCAGCATCCCAAGTGCTGGGATTACAGGCGCATGCCGCCATGCCCAGTCACAATGGCCCTCTCAGCGCGCCTCCGGGACGGGGCTGGCATGGCACGCCAGGGATCGAACTGTGGGCCCCTGTGTCTGCCCAAACACGCTCTTTAATCCTCTGAGCTATCTGGCTGGCCGCTAAAATATTTTTTATTGCTGTTCTTGTGACTGGACCCCGGTAGGCACCAGTTCCCCCCAATCAGAACCTTGCAGCAGGTGACGCTGATGGCCAGGCCGAGCCAAAAGCACCTTGGGCCAAGAGTCAGGGACTACAGGGCTGGGTGTACCTGTTTTCTGCCTTCTGGACTGTTCTACAGTGTTCCATTCAACAACTGGATTGAGTCCAAACCCACGGGTTCCCATGGCAGTGTAAAACACTGCCCCAAGTAACTTTTTTTGTGGTACCAGGGGTCGAACTGAGGACCTTGCACTTGCCAGGCAGGTGCTTATGCCGCTGAGCTATCTCCCCAGCCCCATGCCCCAATTAACTAAAGAATTCTGGAGGCAAGAAGGTAGCTCAGCTACTTAAGCTCATGCTTGGCAAGCACAAGGTCCCCAGTTTGATCCCCAGTTACGCCATAAATAAATAAAATGCCGGATGATGTCACATACATCTATAATCCAGCACTCTGGAGGCTGATGCAGGAGCCTCTTGCAAATTGGAGACCAGCCTGGACTCCAAAATGAACTCAAGGCCAGCCTGAACTGCATAGCAACACCCTGTCTCAAAAAGATGACAAATAAATAAATGAGTGCCCTTCTCACAGTCAACCCCACAGGTATCTTTCCCCTATCTTCAAAGCTAGGGCAGAGCCCAGCTACACCCTACTACAAACTACTGTCCACTAGATAGCTCAGCGGGCTAAGCGCCTGCTTAGGCAAGCTCAGGGGCCTGGGTTCCATCCATGGCACCACATGCCGCTCTGGCCCTGCTCCCGGGCATGCTGAGCCAGCAACCAAGTCCAGATATGGTAGCCCCTGTAATCCCAGCACTGGGGAGGCTGAAAAGAGGAACAATACGAGCGCCAGCTGCGTAGTGAGACCCTACACACACACGCTGCATTCCACGCCTTTTTATACTCTCTGTCTCTATCTCTTTCTCTGTCTCAGTCTGTCTGTTTCTGTCTCTGTCTCTCTGTTTCTGTCTCTGTCTCTCTCTGACTGTCTCTGTCTCTCTCTCTCTCTCCCCCACCTCCCTCCCTCCCCACCTTTTTATTTTTTCCCAAACTATTGCCTGGCCTCAGCTTCCTTGAGTGCCCAGCTAAAATTGCGGGTGTGCACCCCCTAGTGGCTCCCAAGTGTATCTGTGAATCACGTGAACCACACAGATGAAGTGGCGCAGACTGAAAACGCAAATGAGCGTCTGTGAGGCTGAGGAAACTCAGAGGATTGTATCAGTGTCCATATCCACATTTTGTGGGGCTTGAACTCCAGATTCTGTGGCTTCAGCCTCCCTGGGTGCCCCGCGATTACAGGTGTGCACCCCTAGTGCTACCCCAAAACTAATCAGAACCTATCAGTATTGATATCCACATTGTGGTTTTGTTTTGTACTTTTATAAAATGTTTGGGAGGCAAGTACAAAGTGCACAGGACTTCATCTTTTTTGCTTTTTTTTTTTTTTTTTTTTTTGCAGAACTGGAGATTGAACTCAGGCCCTTGTGCTTGCCAGGCAAGTGCTTATTCTACTGAGCCATCTCCCTGGCCCCTGTTTTTGTTTTTTGAGAGTCTCACTGTGTAGTTCAGATTGGCCTTGAACTCACTATGGAGCCTCAGCTGGCCTTGAACTTGCAGGGATCCTGCAGCCTCAGCCTCCCAGTCCCGGAATTAAAGGCCGTGCTCCACCACATGCAGTTGTCTTTGTTTTGTGCTGTTTGCTTGTTTGTGTTTTGAGGCAAGGTTTGGCTGTGTGTTTGAGGCTGGCTTGAACTCGCTGTGTAGCCCAGCCTGGCCTCAAGTTGGCAGCAGCAGTCTTCCTGCCTCAGCCTCCTGAGTGCTGGCATTCCAGCCATGTGCCAGTATGCCAGGCCAGACTCCATGCTTTCATCACCATTCGTGGGGGTCATAGAGTTGAGCGTATCTGTCAGCGCACCCAGATGTTCTGCGTCATGTTGGTTACGTCCTCATGCGATGCTGCCCACTGGCGTGCAGCTTGTGACGGAGAGCCCGTGATTATCAGCCGGACACCCCCTCGGGCTGAGGTCAGTGTGAGCTCCTGGAGGTGTTGGCTCGCTCAGAACTCACAACTTGGGGGAACTGGCCAAGGAACAGACCAAGCATGCCTTTGCCTTCCAAAAGGCCCGAGGACAGAGAGGGACAAATTCACCATGTCTGAGCTAGACACGGTGGCACCTGCCTTTGATGCCAGCACTTGCGAGGCTGAGACAGGAGGGCAGCGAGCTTGAGGCACGCGTGGTCCTGAGTTCAGTAAAGCAAAACAGTAGGTCAATCACTTAGGCAAGGCCCAGCCTGCCTGAAAGCTTGTTTCATTTTGGTTTTAGACAGGATCTTCCTATGTAGTCTAGCCTCAAGCTCGCTGCCCTCCTGTCTCAGCCTCGCAAGTGCTGGCATCAAAGGCAGGTGCCACTGTGCCTAGCTCAGAATACCTCAATGTGTATTTTTTCCTCAGAGGTAAGACTGCAGAAAATGCTTAGCATGCAGCAAGCCTGAGTTCCGTTCCCAGCGCCAAAAATTAGAAACAGTGATAAACTATCATACTACTACGACCACCAAGTCTCCCAAATTGAAACGAGGATTTACCGCTTGGGAGGCTGA